TTACTTTTGAAGGCGTTGGTACATGCAAACCATATGCAGATTCAAACATGGACGGCGTGTAGAATGGGTTCAGGACATCCCGGGACGTTCTGGGACACATCAATGTCGTAGAGGCGATGTCTCACAAGCGTTTCCTTACTTTAGACGGCATCGGTACAACCAAACCAATTGGGGATTCGAACATGGACGAGATCGGAAACAGTGTCAGTACTTTATCTATGCAATGCGACAGAAACCCGGGGTCCTGGCCAAGTCAGAACACTCATCCGTTTGACTGTAGCTCAATGGACAAGGGAGCTACGCTCCCGGACTAGTTGACCCCCTTCCACCCGGCCTGCCACCCTGCCTGTCACCCTGCCACAAGCTGCCGTACAGCAGACCTCTGATTAGCAGACCTTCGAACACTTGTTACTCGGAAACTACTGGTCCGATTTCGACCAAATTTCGTGTGTGTATGAAGAGTGGGATCGTCAAGATTATGATGGTAATCATATTGTCCTATTGTAATTGTTTGATTTATTATTAGGGCTCTATACCCTGGGACACCCTTGTACACGTCAATTACGTAGCGGCGTCTATATTTGACGGCATTGGTACAAAGAATCCATTTGAGGATTCAAATATGAACAAGAACTGGAATGGGTTCAGATCAACCAAGAATGCTCTGGCTCCCGCCAATTTTGTCAAAACGGACTGATGACATATGAAGTAATAAATTACACCATAACATACTCATGTGCACTGCATTTATAAAGTGGATTCAAATTGACTGGAACTAAATGATTTATTGGTATGAGAGGGGGTCGGGTAGCCTTGTGGTTAAAGCGTTCGCTCGTCACGCCGAAAACCTGTCAATTCCTGACATGGGTACAATGTGAGAAACCAATTTCAGGTTCACCGCCGTGATATTGCTGGAATATTGCTAAAAGCGGTGTAAAACCATACTCACTCACTCACTAATGGCATGAGATGTATTTTGCCCCGTTGCTCTGAAACCGCTACTCCGATTACTTTCACACTCTACATGTGCCTGCTGCTTTAGGTGCTTGACATCTTTTGTTCTTTAACTTTGGCCATTGGCCACGTGGTTTGGCAGCCATTTTGGATTCAGGGTTTTCACAGTGTCTTTTGGGTACACATGTCTTCAAAAGCATACGACTCTGAATCCACCACATGAAATGCTACCAAACTTTCTGAGATTTGTCTCCGTACACAACATATCAAACATTGATATATTTGATGGGATAGTTATTAGTTGCGGCCATATTTGATTTTGATTTTCATACCCCCCGGCGTTCCATCAACTCATCAAAGGCCCCAATCAGCCATAATCCCGTTGTTTATATTACTGGCTTCATCCTTTGTTTCTGTCACTGACTTCACCGACGATTGTCATCACTACCCTTTTGTGTACATAACAGGCTTCTCTACTCCAGTATAACAATATCTACTCTACTGCATAAACATTGCCTCCTACTTGTATAGATACTTGTCAACCACACTCTATATCAGCAAAACCACACTCTGTATACCACTTGCTTGATAACTGTGATAGAACCTAAACCGAAACGTCACTCTTAATTGTAATAAAGAAGTTGTTCATCCATAAATTCTTATCCTCACTTAGTACTCCAACTTCTAAATGCCTATCAAAGAAGAAGTCAGTGAAATATCAAATTATTAATTACATTATACAATACTCTTATGCACTGTATTATAAAGCGGATTCGAGTAGGCTGAAACCATATGACTCAGTAATTCTCGATATCATAGAGCCCGACATCGCTGCCCGCAGCTATATTTATTATTATTATTATTATTATTATTATTATTATAGTCCACTTGTAACGGAATGACATCCATCTACTCGGTAGTTGCTCGTGGCGCTATATAGTCATGCAGTACAGGCCCCTGAAGAGATGGATTCCCAAGTTTGATTTGAAGTCTTTGAGGGAAGAAAAAAGCGGCGTCAAAGTACATAACCCAGAGATTATAATTTGAAAGTTGAAGCATCTACTTGGATCTTTATAGTAGATATGATATTTGGAACAGGTTGGTACTTCTGTACTAAGTCTATTAAATATAAAGGCACTCCTCCATTAGTTGAAGCGATTTGCCACGAGATCTATTCTAGCCTCAGCTTGGAGCCAGTGCAAGGACTTCTAAACATAATGCGTAGGTATTACAGGGTCTTCCATAGAGTTTGCAGCGCTCAACCAGTTTATGTCATTATCTGTGTGTCAGCTTGCTCCGTTTTGCTTGGTAGACGGATGTAGGAAAATGCCATTCAAGTAATAGCCAATAGCAACTGTGCCTCTCACGGAACCACAATGGGAAATGATATTGCTATCTGGTTATGTGTTAATCTAGTGATAATTATGAGTCACATACCCGCTGTGCCGGAGCCTACATGGCTACTGGAGCATGGTAGGGACAAAGTACCATCACTGATGAAAGGAAACACGTCGGGCTGGTTTATGTGTACATGTCTTGACAAACCGCATGAAAGTTTCCGTTTGTACTTGTACTTCAGTAGGTCATGGTTCGAGACCCGGCTGCTTCAAACCCAAGGATGTACTTGTTACCCTGTCTCGCGCTCGGCAGTGATAAACAAGGACTGGTCGGCTAGAAGTAGTATACTGTGTCTTAGCGGGATGGTATCGCAGAGGTTTAGCAAGTCCGAACCAGCAACCACACACACAAGCGTACGTCGCTATATAAGCGACATTTCAATTTGGCTTCGTACGGCCAACCGCCAACGTTCCGGTTAATAGTCATGTGAATAAATCATGTAGAAACTTCATCAATGCACATCATTGTTGCGCTGACTAGAATAGAAGTTTAATCTCAAAAGTCTCCCCATTTGACTTACTTGTATTTCCCTCACCGGTTGTATTTGATCAATAATAATATCGGGAAATTGGGATTTTTCAATCCAGGTTGTTGTTTTACGCCGCACTCAGCAATATTCCAGCTTTATCACGGCGGTCTATAAATAATCGAGTCTGGAACAGACGGTCCAGTGATTGACATCATGCGCATCGATCCACGCAATTGGGATACGATTGGATATATATACTGAACCAAATTAAAAACTTCACAATCCTAAATTTTAACATTTTGACCAGTTATCATTGTGGGCCCTTATTGTGTATTTAAACAGTAATGGCCACGTATTGTCTTCAGATAACACCCGTGTTTGTGCAGGTGAATCGATGAAAATCATGTGCACAGCAATATAGTGGCAAAAGTGGTTTTTCACGTGCAACTGGTCACGTGGCCATAATACCACACGTGTTTTCAACCATACTTGTTAGCAGTCATTAACAAAAAAAGAAAACACAAGAAAACAAAAGTCTTTACGGCCATTTGTCATGCCACGCCTTTCAACGTGAAACGTGAACGTGCCATCGGCATGTTGCAGACGGGAACGTCCGTAGCTGAATCGCAAGGGCGATGGGTTGTAGTCGACGGACTGTTTATGATTTACGGACGCGTCTACAGCAAACGGGTACCACCGCTGATCGCCCTCGGCCAGGTCGACCACGTGTGACGGCACATGCAGACGTGCCTCCGTAACCAATTTTTAACGGCTACATCAACCAGAAATGAACTGTTTAGGGGTAGACTGAGTGCGCAAACTGTTCGAAACCGTCTAAGAACTGCTCACCCTCAAGCACGACGGCCATACTGCGGGCCTTTTCTGACTCAATTACACATACGTCAACGTCAATTGTGGGACACTTACGATGGACTCAGAGGAATTGGAATCAAGTCGTCTTCAGTGATGAATCCCGATTTAATCTTCGATTTGCTGATGGTAGGGCGAGGGTTAGGAGGGGCCGTCATGAACGTTACGCCCAGTGTTGTGTACAGGAAGTTGACAGATTTCGAGGCGGAAGTGTCATGGTGTGGGGTGCTTTCTGTGGCAATGCACGTTCCAGGCTTCTTGTCATCCTTGGCAACCTCAACGCTGCTGCTTACCGCGACCAGGTACTGGCACCAGAACTTCTGCCTTTTATGGCAGCACATGGACCCGGTTTGATCTTCCAACACGACAATGCCAGACCCAACACAGCAATTTTGACAAGGAATTTCCTTCAGAATGCGGGAGTCAACGTCATGGACTGGTCTCCCGACCTCAATCCCATCGAACACGTCTGGGATGCTCTTGGCAGAAGTCTTCGCACTCTCCAGAACCAACCACAGAATTTGCAAGATCTTGGCACCATTTTGCAGCATCAATGGCGTCGTCTTCCCAATCATGTGTTCACAAGCATCATAAGGTCCATGCGGAGGCGTTGTGTGGCAGTTGTCAACGCACATGGGGGCCATACACGCTACTGAACTTGTGTGCCATCATATTCTCGTGCTTGGGACTTATGATTTAAACTGTTGATGTTATTACCGAATATCGTAGGTGCTTGGAACAAATTATGGTTACCACCGTTAATTAAAATCCTTCTTTTGACATTAAAGATTAAAAATTACCTTCTCTGATACATTTGACCGTTGTATATCATATATATATATATATATATATATATATATATATATATATATATATATATGGGATTACTTTTAAAAAAGTGAAGTTTTTAATTTGACTCAGTATACATAGATTCACCTTTCTTGGAGAGACTGAAATCTCATATTACAGTGTAAAGACGTCACAGTCTACACGATATCAGCCTCAAAACCTCTCTCTCTCTCTCTCTCTCTCTCTCTCTCTCTCTCTCTCTCTCTCTCTTCAGACTGTTGCCACAGAAATTGCATGATTTTCCCGGGGAAAATATCAGGCTCACAGTTTAAAAATATCAGGTTGGTAGCTGTTTGTAGCTGGATATTGAATTAGGTAATCAAATTACGTAATCAATACGAAATCAAAGTCTGCAAATACCAGGTCCATGTTGGACATATTAACAATTAAATTATCCCTTATGAATTTGTAACTGCACATTATGGATAGTGAAAGTATGATGCTAGAACATTGTTCCTACCGTAGGAGATAACTGATTCCAGGTAGCATAGGATGCCAAAGACTGACTGCTTGCCATGTCGCTGTCGGATCCTGTCGATGGTGGCACAGTGCATCCCTTCTTATCGCTGCTGCTCCGCAATATGTCATCTGGCATCACACAACTGACATCTTTGGTCTTTGGTAGCGTCCCAACCTGCCCAATAGTGTCATAGGGATCATCGGGCTTTTCATCACAGACATTGTTCCCGGTGACCACATCTGGCAAGGCCGAGTCCCTGAAATTTAACTGTACCGCATGGCAATAAGTTTCGGAATCACGAACTGATCCGCAATCAGCTGGGTCTCTGATGGGAGAAGTACGCAGTTCAACAGCATCTCCGTATGATTCGGTCGTCATGGTGTTGTGAAAATCCACGCACGTCAATGTTTGGTTATTCCATTTTCAGAACGTATGACCAGCTTCAGACTGTTCCTGCTTCTAAAACACAACCCTTCCTCGGATCTCTCTTCTTCAGGTGTAAGGCACACCCTCATTGTTACTTCCTGGTTGATATCAATAGACTTGCTCATACACACCGAGTATTTTCAACAATGGCTGTTGTTATTTAATATTCAGGGTGGAAATTCAATAGTTCATACTCCCATGCACAAATGTAGTCTCACTACTTAGGAAAACTACCCGCAGTACGTCAATTATATTATCACATATCTTGATATTTAAGCTGGCATTCAGACAAGGCTTTGCTCGTTCACGGGGTCGTGAACAGGAATAATATATCAGTGTCTTGTTATAGACCGACATGGGCGACGTTAGAATGATCGCCGAGACTGATACACACTCCGATGCATTCAGATTGATTCAGGGTGAATGCTATATGGTATATTGAATGGCCATGTACATTAGTGTTGTCAGGAAGTCGTCTCACAACACGCATGCTCTGAAAGCATCCTTTGAATATAACATAATAGTCATATTTGTTTGGTAGGAGACGAATAACATTTAAAACGTGAGGAGTCAATATGTCCACTGTGTTCGGGGTATATGTTACATATGTATTGATTTAGACCAAATTTTGAATAGGGTCGATCCCTCAAAAACAGTACAGGTCCTTGCTGATTAACGGTTAAAAGAGCACTTCCAATGGACTAAACCATCACTGGAAGATTACACAGAATAATTCAGGTTGTAGTGAACTCTTTCATCAAGTGTTAAAACTGATCTCGTTCTACAAGGGAAAATGATGACACGGATGCGTTGATCCCATTTCAGCATTTCAGATGTAATTGCGTCTTCGTATTTATTAAATCCTTTAGTGTGAAAGACGTGGTTTTCCTAAGTTGAGAAAAGTGATATTTTCATTGTTGTGAACATAACACTTTGACGGAACGATTGTCAAACAAGAGTTACCTCCCCTCAAACTGTCTCTTTTTATTTTTACCTTTTCACATTGGTTGCACATTGGTAAGGCAAAATAACAGATAGTCATTTATGGAGTTTACATGGAGTATTCTTCGCTTCTTGTCGATGGTAATTCTCATGAAAATGTTTCTTTTTAAACTGTAAATGTCTCATTTAACTCGTTAATCGAGACAATCGTTTCGCGAAGAGCCATTTTTGTGACCAGCGTGTATTCTTTCACACCCAAAAGCGGCCTCGTAGTTTTCAAGAATATTTGTTCTTAAAGTTGATTTTGTATATAATCATATCTATATGTATGATACAGAATTTTCGTGACCCTAAATATTTTTTATTACTTTTGTTTATATTTTCTAAGGTTTTACAAACACGAAACTTTTTAAGTCGCAAATACAAGGGGTGGTGAACCGTTCCTGTGTGTTAGGAAGGGAGAGTTTACGTTTCAAGGTTTTACTTTAGCAATGAAATAATTCCATTTTCCAGTAGACAACTTTTCAGAAAGTATATAATAAGTAGGATATTCCATGTGTTTCGTGATTTTTCTCTCATCTCGTGACTCGTGAAAATAGATTTTACTCGAAACACGGTGGAATATATATGGTACTAAATTTGTACATCGGTGCGCGGTATACTTACATACATGTGGAAGCGAATATGTACATTTTAACTGGTACACATTGAGATAACAATCAACGCCATTAATAAATATACACACATTCATCATAATAAAAAATATTTCGCATTTATTTCTGTATGGACAATCCACTTTTGATATATACTGAACCGCAAAAGAAACGTCACCTCAAGTAACATTGCATTAAAAGTTGTCATTTAAATATCTGGGTAATTTTTGTCAAAGTTTAACATTACCTTGTCCAGAAAATGAAATTTGATGATAAAAACACAAAGCAGATGGCAATAAAACCGATAGCCCAAACGCATCACGGCAACGGCCATGATAACCCGATGCACGTGAGTTCCGTGCAAATTAAATGCACACGCGTTCCCACATTTCTTGCCCTTTAAAAATCCACCCAGATCGGATAACATTCATTCGTTATTGAATTGCTACCACATGCCATGAATGACAAGAAATCAGCGACACCAAGTCCTTGCACGATTGCAAGCTGGACAAACCGCCCGGCCAATGCATTTCAAGTCCACGTAAGGACCATATACAGGCTCCAGCAACGGTACCAGACCACCAACACTACAGATGACCGACCACGGGGTGGAGGACCAAGGGTCACCACTGACGTCAGGATCGTCAGATTGTGCGACAGCATCTTCAAGATCGCTTTGTTACTGCTGCGGAAACTGCTCGACAGGCCATGGGGTCACACACGCGACATATTAGTGCGGACACCGTGCGTCGACGATTGACGAGCAGACACCTCCACTGTCACAGGCCACAACGAGGACCCATTCTGACATCACGTCATCGCCGGGACCGCCTTCAGTGGGCAACACAGCACCAGCATAGGCGCACAGAGGTCTTGCACAGAGGGTCGGCCCTGTGGTCTTCTGGAACATCGGTCCAGGGAGAGGCAATGATGTCACAGCAGCTCGGTACATTGATCAAGTCTTGAGACCACACGCCATACCTCATTTGGTACGTCGCCGCAACCACGAATTTCAGCAGGATAACGCCCGTGCCCACACTGCGAGAGCACAATAGACTTCCTCAAGCAGAATGGCATCAGAACCATGCAGTGGCCTGCCCTCTGTCCCGATTTAAATCCCATTGAGCACCTGTGGGACGAGATACAAAGACGGCTGAATGACGTCCGACAGCTGCAGCTGAACTGCGTCAGGCGTTTCTCAAAGTGTGGGCGCAAGTGCCTATGGTCTTCATCAACCGCCTCATCCATTCCATCATGTATCGACGTTGTGCGGCAGTCATCAATGGCAGTCATCAATGCACATGGCGGACTTGTGATACCATTTTTCAGAGACTAGTGTTGTGTTTCACTTTAGGAACATTTGACACTTTAATTTCAACCTTGATGATCAGTTTTGCCAAGTTTCATCTTTTTAATATATTCTCAAAGTATGTTTACAGTGTTTGGACAAATAAGGTTTCTCATATATCTATCTATGGTGACGTTTCTTTTGCGGTTCAGTATATTTACAAAACTTACCAAAAAAAGTAATGCCTGATATTGACAATTCATGAGATAGATAAATTTGTCTACAGTTGGATATTATCAAAAATAGTTGGGTAATAAAGATTTTTCGGAGATCCTGTAATTCATTACAACATAATACAAAGTGAAATTCATCCCCAATGGCAGTGTTACGAAGTGAGCACAGTCTGTCATTTCTATATACATTATTCCATCTTCCAGTTTCAATTGCTAGCCTGTGATTTGTTGTTCTTAACTGAGTCAACCAAGTTCGGAGATTGTAGGGTAGTGATAATAAATATGGTTCTAAAATGAGATATTTAAATAGTAAATAAGTATCCGCTTTCGAAGAACCCTTCTCGGTTCACGCTCTCTGTGTCCGCGCCGTCCTTTTGTCGAACGGCAACAGCTGATGGATATTTAGACTGACATTTAGTCCCAGAAATAAACATATCTTATTCAAAAATATAAATCTCCAAAATTAAAAAGATATAATCCAAATTGAGTCCTGAACGATCCAAATCTCTTTAGACGTGAGTTCGGCTCCTTTCTCAATTTTATTCTTTAGGGGGTGGGAGAGAGACTAGTGGATATTTCTTAAGGGGCATTCAGACGGTACAACTTGTTGTACCGTCTGAATGCCCCTTTAGCCTCATCCGCATTGTTCTCGCTGCAATCATCAACCCAAACGCTATGCCACACTGCTGTATTCTTCCTGCCCGGCTGGGATACAGGACAGGTTTTTTTTACACCAAGCCTTTCTGCGGGGAATATGTCTTGGTGGAGGACTTGGTAGACACCTTCCACGATTATTTTGTCTTCGATGGTTACTTCGAGGATGGTGATGATGCAGCAACGCCTTCCCACGTTGTTCGTAGAATGATGAAAGACGAGTGGTAGACATCGGCACAGTCTGTGCATCGAAATGTGATCGTCCAGAGCTCTGTTCGGCCGAGATAACACCGTGTTTGCGGGTCACGACTGTCATGGCCTGGTCGCATCTCATGCAGCGTACGTGGCGGCGGGGTCGAGTTCATGCTTCAAAATACGTTACCAAATCTTACCAACGTGATTACGACCTGATTAGAATTAACGCATATTCGAAATTAAAAAAAAATATATTTTGGGAGTGATTTAAGCCAAAACACGTGTGCAAGTATATCTAGGCTGAAAAATATCAGTTGTACACGGATCCGGGTACGGTTTACCTGACAACTGGTTAGGACGGCTGACCGTGAAGTGGACGTCTGTTGAAAATCTAGGGACTTTTTGGAGTGAAGTTAGGAAAGCTGCAGTAATATTGGCTATGATGTAATATAGGCAGGGTATTCAATGGAATTCTCCCTTTTGTAGAAATTAAACTAGGGCATCTACACTTATCTGTATCAGTATCCGTACATTTTGAGCACGTGTCCCGCACCCGTATTTCTTTCGATCCCAAGCCGATTTCTGCGGATACAGATAGTCCTGAAATGGAATAGCCCCTGTAGTGACGTCACGTTATATTGTGAACCCCGTGGAATTCCATTATCACGTGGCAAGTAAGTAAGACCATGTCGAAGGCAAACAATAAAAGCTAAAATTGTATATTCATGACATCGTTGTCCATCGAATTCAGCTGCTTTACCAGCTGATGATATTCGCCGCGCTCGTTCCTTTTCATAAAAATGTCGTGTACCCACCATCGTCTCTTGTTTTCAACCATTTTTGTCTCATAATATCTACCAAAGACGTATATACATTTATACACGTCTTTGTCTCATTAATATTAACTCATGTGGATACGTGTGGAAATAACTACGCACAAGTATAAACGTAAATATTAGGGCGAAAAAAAGCGGACATGTGTAATCCCGGCTTTAGAGGTTGATCATTGTGGTGAAACCCAGAACAGGGTCTCTGTCAAAACGTAATGAAAGCATTTGCACAAACCATGGACACCAAATACCACCCATGTACAAAACAAACCAGGAAGTCTATTTTTCTGAAAGTGTATAAGCCACCGCCACACCCTCATTATACAAGTCCCCGCATTGTATACCCTTTTATCACCACCGACCGACTGCTCCAATTGCAGACCTCTATCCACCACACTCCAGTGGTGGTGCAATAGGTCATG